ATATTTGGTTTCTGTTCCTGATTCCTGGCACAGAACTCCTAAAACCATTGTACTTTCCTGAGTAATAGGGGAAATAAATGCATCTTTTATTATTTCTAAAATGCACCTTTCAACCATACCTGAGTTTATGCTAATGAAGTGACTCTTGGAGGAAGAGGGCTGGTTGCCAGAGGAACCAAAATCAGGTAATTAGAGGGTTGGAACTTTCATCCCCACCACAGGAATGGACAAGGGGCTAGAGATGGAGTTCAACCACCCATGGCCAATGGTTTCATCAATCATAAGTAATGGAAGCTCCATAAAAATCCTAAACAATGGGGTTCAGAGATCTTCAGGTTGCTGAACACATCAAGATTCTGGGAGGGTGGTATGTCCAGAGATGGCATGGAAGCACTGCATCTCTTCCCACAAACCTTGCCCTGCTCATCTAGTTCCATTTGGCTGGTCCTGAGTTGTATTCTTTGTAATAAAAGACTATAGTAAGTAAAGTGCTTTCCTGAGTTATGTGAGTCATTCTAGCAAATTACTGAACCCAAGGAGGGGGTCATTGAAATCCCCGATTGATAGCCATTGGTCAGAAGTACCAGATGTCCAGATGAACAATGAGCCTCTAATGTGGGGGTGGGAGTAGGGGCAGTCTTGTGGGGCCTGTGTTCACTCTGGGTAATTAGTGTCAGAAGTGTGGTGAGTAGGGAAAGTTTTCCTTTTAGTTGATTACTCTTTAAACTACTAGACTTTGATGCCATCTCAGCAACAGCACTGACATCCCATTTGGTTACAGCCACCACACAAGCTCTAGGTTCCAAACTCAAGGTAAACATGGTTCTCGCCTCCTCCCACAACCACACCAAAATTACAACTAAACTACAAAACAACCATCATCCAGAACTTCCTGAAATTAAGCTGAATGGAAGTCCTACAACTACAATAATAAAGAAGCCATGTTGAAATTGGTAGGAGGGGCTGAGGCATGGACAGGACGGTCCCACACTCATATGTGGCAGATAAAAATCAGTAGGGATAACTTGCCTGTGAAGGTCCTCCCTGAGGAGTGAGGGGTCCCCGTCCCATACCAGAAACCCCAGCTCAGGGTTCTAGTGCCAGGAAGAGAAGTCACCATAACATCTGGCTGTAAAAACCAGTGGGAATTGAGGCTGAGGCTGCTGAAATCCCAGTCCATTCCTCTTAAAGGGCCCACACACAGACTTACTTGGATTTGCTCCCTCCATGCTCCAGCATTGGGGAGATAGCTTGAAAGGCACCAGAAACATATGGGGAAGAACTGAGTTGTTTGGCATTGGGGGACAGCTGAAGGGGCAGCTTGCTTCAGGGCAGACTTGCTGTTGGAGGCTGTTGTTCCTTTGGTGAGCCCTTCAGAGGGTGGCAGATGGGCGCCATATCTGGGACTTCAGCAACCTGGTTCACACAGTTTGCTTTGCCCTGCTGATTTCCTGAGGCCCTGTGCCTCCCACATTAAGGTGTACCCAAATTGTTTCCAGTGGCTTTACCATAGGATTGGCCTGTCTTGGCTTCTGCTTCAGATTTTCCTAAATTCCCTCAAACAGTATCTGGCCTTAGTGAGACACACATATCACTCACTGAGTGGTCCCAGGCCTGGCACTAGAAGCATCCAGCCTTGATTCACAGCTTGGCTTTGCCTGGGCACCTCTGAGCCCAGCACAAGCAGAAGCCATCTGCAGATTGCTTTGTAGCTTCGGCCTGGTGGCCCTGGGCAGAACACAGGCAGTGGCTGACCTTGCTCCAGAGCCAGCACACCCAGTGGACAGCTTCAGAGCACATCAAAGCACCATCGTCACCCAACCATCTCCACAAGCAACACACTTAAAGAGTAGACTCAGTGGGAAACAGAACCCTGCTGAAGTAAGTCTTGTTTTGTGTGGTGAGCCAATGCACAGCTGATCCTTCCAGGTAGTCAGAGGTCAGTGGTCAGTGGGCATAACATGTCCTTGCAGCTGACAGCCTGAGTAAATCCCTCCCATTGATGTGCCAACAGCAATAAAGACTCAATTACAACAGAAAAGTGTACAGTCCACATAAGGGGTGCACTTGAGGGCACAGCTGGGGTGATTAGGAAGGCTGTGCCATTGTCCTCTACAGGACACCTACTACAACAGGCCACCCAAGGAAGCCCAGAAGACATAGCAACTCTACCTAATACATAGAAACAAACACAGGGAAGCAGCCAAAATGAGGAGACAAAGAAATGTGTCCCACCGAAATAGAACAAAACTCCAGAAAAAGGACTAAACAAAATGAAGATAAGCAATCAATCAGATGCATAGTTCAAAACACTAATTATAAGGATGCTCAATGAACTTGGTGAGACATTCAAGGAACTTAGTGAGACCTTCAAGGAACTCAAGGAGACCTCCAAGAAACTTAGAACATCAACAACATAAAAAAGGACCAGTCAGAAATGAAGGATGCACTAACTGAAATAAAAAATAATTTACAGGGAATCAATAGTAGAGTAGGTAAAGCCAAGAAGTAAACCATCGATTTGGAATATAAGGAAGCAAAAAACAAACAAAAAAACACCCAATCAGAACAACCAAAAGAAAAAAGAATCCAAAAAAAATGACAATAGTGTAAAGAGCCTCAGGGACAATTTCAAGCGTGCCAACATTCGCATCATAGGGGTGCCAGAAGGAGAAGAGAGAGAACAAGAAATTGAAAACCTATTTGAAAAAATGACAGAAAACTTCCCTAACTTGCTGAAGGAAACAGACATACAAGTCCAGGAAGCACAGAGAGTCTCAAACAAGAGGAACCCAAAGAGGTCCACGCCAAGACACATCACCATCAAAATGCCAAAGGTTAAATACAAAGAGAGAATCTTTTTTTTTATTTTTTTATCCTCACCCTAGGACATTTTTCCATTTTTTGTTCAGACAGAGCGGGAGGGAGAGAGAGGAAGAGAGAGAGAGAGAGATCGACGTGAAAGGGACACATCGACTGGCTGCCACCTGCACAACCCAACCAGGGCCAGGGACAAACGGCAACCGAGGTATGTGCCCTTAGCAGGAACCAAACCCAGGTCTCTATTGACTGTAGGCCAGCGCTCTAACCGCTGAGCCAAACTGGCCAGGGCACAAAGAGAGAATCTTAAAAGCAGCAAGAGAAAAGCAGTTCATTACCTACTAAGGAGATCCCATAAGACTGTCGGCTGATTTCTCAAAAGAAACTTTGCAGGCCAGAAAGGAGTGGCAAGAGATATTCAAGGTGATGAAATGCAGCGGCCTCCAACCAAGATTATTGTATCCTGCAAAGCTATCATTTAGAATCAATGGACATATCAAGAGTTTCCCAGAAAAGAAAAAGCTAAAGGAGTTTATCACCACCAAACCAGTATTATATAAAATGTTGAAGGGTCTTCTGAAGGAGAACAAAAATATAAACAATAAAATGGCAATTAATACATAGCTATCAAAAATTGAATCTACAAACAAAATGAGCAAGAAGATCAGAAACAGGCTCCAAGATACAGAGAATTTTTGTTGCTTGCCAGATGGGTGGGGGCTGGGGGTGGGTGCAAAAGATGAAGGAATTAAGAAGTACAAATTGGTTGTTAGACTGATGAACCTCAAAGGGAATAGGGAGGGGAGCAGGAATAGATACACCAAAGAACTTTTATGCATATATGCATAACCAATGGACACCCACAATAACTGGGGAAGGCAGGAGTGGGGTGGGATTGGGGAGGAAGGGGTCAATGGGGAAAAGGGGGGGGGGCATCTGTAATACATTCAACAGTAAAGATAAGTTTTAAAAATTTTGAATTTGCCATTCCAATGTGGTTCAGTGGATTGAGCTTTGTCCCTTGGACTAATAGGTCCCAGTTCGATTCCCAGTTAGGGCACTTAACAGGGTTTGAGCTTGATCCCTGGTTGGGGGTATGCAGGAGGCAGCTGATTGATGTTTCTCTCTCTCTCTCTCTCTCTCTCTCTCTCTCTCTCTCCCTTACACTCTCTCTTAAAAAATCAACAAAAACATATTTTTAAATATTTGAATAAGGCCCTGGCCAGTAGCTTTGTTGGTTAGAGCCTCATCCCAATAACCCAAGGTTGTGGGTTTGATCCCAGGTCAGGGCACATACAAGAATCAACCAATGAATGCATAGAAAAGTGGAACAAGTCAATGTTTTGATCTCTTTAAAAGAAATCAATTAATCAATACAATTTTTTAAATTTAAATTTTAATTTTAAGCACTCTGGGAGTCAAACCAAGCAGTTCTGGTTTAATGAGGCCCAAGTGCAGCACTTTGCAAACAAAATGTCAAATGCTAGTGAAGTTTGGGTTTCTACTTTGTCAAATTTTCTTTTCCAAATGACAAAATAGCCTGTAACTCCTTACACATGCAGAATGACTTGCCCAAGCCACACAGTCATCATAATTGCTAACCTCTACCCTGTGCTCCTTACAGCAAAATCTTATTTAATAATGAGGTGAATTTTGTTAGTCTCCACTTAACTAATTAATAGCAGAATCCCAACCTTTTGATTTCCAATACACCGCCGTGTCCTTTTTCCGCCAAACTGATGTATTTAATAATGATTATTTTTAAATCCTGTTTCCAGCCTCTCCTGTTCCAGTTTCCTTTACTGCCCTTTTTAAGGCTTGTCCTAAAGAGTGCTGCAGAAAAATGACGAAGTAGAAAAAGTAAAACATGAACTGAAAATGAAAAAGAGGAACTGGTGTTGCAAAGAAAACTAAGGTCAGCGGAGCTGTGTTCCAGGCCAGGCTCGGTGCGCCCTCCCTTAAGGGGAGTTAGCCCAGGGTAAACTCCCTGAAACAAGTCCTCCCGGCTGGTGGGAATGCAGGCGCTGCTTCCGTTATGACCCGTGCCTTCCCTAACCTGCCTAAAGTGGAGGCAAGGAAAGGAGACGAGTGGAGAGGTAGAAAGACGTGGCCAACAGGAAACTGAGACAGCCAGGGCGCGAGAGCTAACGCCTGCCCACCGGCGTCCGCCACCGGCTTCGGCCACGTGACGCACCCAAGATGGCCGCTAACAGGGGAGGCGGCTGCCCAGCCGAGCGGGGTCCGAGGCCGGAGCCGGGAGAAGAGTTTGAGATTGTGGACCGGAGCCAGCTGCCAAGCCCGGGGCACCTGCAGAGCGTGACGAGGCGGCGGGCGGCGGCGGAGGGTTGGTCTGCGCCCATCTTGACCCTGGCGCGCAGGGCCACAGGCAACCTCTCTGCGAGTTTCGGGAGCGCGCTGCGCGCGACCGAGGGGCTGGGCGGCACTGACGGCTTGGACAGCACGGAAGGCGTGGCGCGCGCAGGTGGGTCAGTTGGTTGCGCTCCGCTGTGCCCCCTGCGGACAGGTTGCCCACCGTTGGCCGTGGGAGCAGAGCTGGCAGGGCCTTGTTGATTGGAGTTGTAAAGAGCCAACATAGTCACTCGTCTGATTTGTCGTGTTTTCTCCACACCGTGTGATCGAGCCTGGATGAGCACGCGGGCTTGGGCGGGGGTGGGGAGGGCGGTCGACTCCCACTTGCGTTTCCTAGACAACAACCTTATTCTCATTGGTGAACTTTAGGAAAATATACAAGTCTGAGCTTAGGTTATCTGTATGAATTTTAAAATACTTAAGTGAATTCAGGACTGTTTTTTGCTGTAAATCTCAAAATGCCAGCCCAGTTTACCACCTGCAGGTGTACAGTCTCAGAGAACTCACTGCACCAAGGCGGAAGACAGATTTGGGTGTGCAGGCCAGTCCCATGCTCCACCACCAACTTGTGTGATGAACCCAGCATCACACTTCCCAGCGTGAAAAAAATGGGGATTTTTTTTCTTTATTCGCCCAATAATCTCTTACAGTCCTTTACAGCCCTTGTGTAGAATTTCAGCACATTTGTGAGAAGGATGGAAACATTAAATGTATGACTTTCTAGCCTACAAGAGGCTAGTGGCTACCTATTGCAGAGTGCGGTGAGAGCGTTTTCTTCATAGAAAGTGCTGTGGGACAGAGCTGACTAAAGACTGGCGTGCTGATTAAGAAGTGTTAGTGTGCATTGGAGGTTTCTTGATTCTGTCCTATCCACTGGTAAATTTGCTTTTGAAGTCAGCACTGACACCAGAATAGTGAATTGTGAAAGTTTCATTGGTTAAGAAAGATTGAGTAAAGTTTGAAATCTGACTTGAAATTCTGGCAGTGAAAAGTAGTTCTAGAAGGTAATGAGAGGCTGCTCAACCCAGATTTCTGGTTCCCAAGCTTGCCACTTGTGTACATGTCACTGGGTGTTTGTATACCGCAACCCACTGGCAGTCCATTCTGAGAGTCAAGACCTAGGGACTTCTGGAGTCCTCTTAGATAGTTCATGGCACTAGTAAGCAAATAAAATGTGTCATTGCCTAGCACTCAAATGCTTGCAGGGTGGGGGAAAAGTAGGTTTATGGATGTTCATATGGAAATAATACAACACTTCATAAATAATAATACAAGAATAAACTTTTGTATACACAGCTGTAAACCTACTTTTGCCCCATTGTAGTTGAAGAATACTTGTTTTCCATTTATGGTAGGGTTATGAATAATAGCTAACACTTATACTGTGCTTCCTACGTGGAAGATAGTCTTAGATCTCTACGTACATTGATTCATTTTATCTTCACAGTACTACATAATAGCAGGACTGGCTTCGTGGTGTGTAATCACTGCAGGCTTTGGTTAGTGTGGGTCACCTAGAACCCGGCACTGAGGAGTGCCCCACTCTTGAAATTCTTAGTAATTTCTCTGAATTTGTGTTTTGTAAGTGAAGTCCAGTGGAACAAAGGAATATGTGGGGAAGAGGGGCCTTGGAGCTGGGCTCATGTGTGCTTCCACCTTCCACTGCCTCCTTGGAACAGGTTCTCAGCCTCTTTGGCCCACTAAGGACTGCCCTGGGGCTTCTCTCTACCTTTCCCTGACCCTAACCCATGACCACTGCTGGCCCAAGGGAGTTGGGGGTCACACCTTCTGAATCTCAGGGCAGGGCAGTCAGACTGGCAGCACCCCAGCATACTAGGCAGACAATTGGGTAGAGGCCTCACACTCACCCCAACCAGATACAGACTGTATCCCTGCAGGAAGTTGTAATGCCTTAGAACCTATGAAGGGGAGATTGACTTCCTTGCCTCTGCCAGTGTAACCAGGCCCATGTTCTGTACCATTATTATCCCTGTTTTATAAGGAGAGAAACTGAATTAAAGAGAAGTAACTTGACCCAGTTACTTAGACATGGCAGAGACAGTACTGAAACCAAGACTTCTGCCTCTTGAAACCATGCTCTTAGTCACAACACCTCAATGCCGCGATGCCTCTAATTTTATAAGTAAAATGCCATAATGTATACATATGAATTTTTAAATTAGACAATTGATAGAAAATATTACATAAATAATTACCATTCAGATCTGGTAAAAATTGTGAACATGGTTTACCATGGGCTGAAAAATGGGGAACAGCGGGGATGAGCTGTGTAGCTAATCCCGGAGGATGACCTGGATTTGAAGCTCTCTAGTAGGACAGGAATTGGGGTAGGGAAAGGAAATGGACCCTGGGTATCACACTCAGCAGAGGCCTCGGAAAAGCAGGTCTGGAGAAGATGGTGTCCCCCCTACCTCACTCCCACCTCCACCCACTTCAGCCAGGGCCCACTCATTTCTTTCTTTCCCATTTGTCTGCTTCCACAAGTAGTGAGGACAGGACTTTCTCAAAGGAAGTGGTAAAGGTGCAGAGATCCAGTGTGAGCAGCACTCTTGCCAGATGACATTTTTTTTTGTAATAGATATTAAAGGAAAATGATGTGGAATATTGTGGAATGCTCTGAATATCTGTTTTTACAATGCTATCCTGTTGGGGTTTGGTACATAGCATGCCACAGTGATCGTCATCCTATTTGCATAGTTGTCTTGTTTGTCTTGGGGTGTGTTTTTTTAAATACGGTTTTATTGACTTTTTTAGAGAGAGGAAGGGAGAGAGAGATAGAAACATTGATGTGAGAGAAACACATCTATTGGCTGCCTCTTATACGCCCCACAACAGGATGGAGCCTGAAACCCAGGCATGCACACTGACCAGCATTTGAACCGGGACCTCTCAGTCCATGGGACGATGCTCAATCTACTGAGCCACACTGGCTGGGCTGGGGTGGTTTTGTTTTTTTTAAGATAATAAATGTGCAGGGTAAAACAACAACAACAAAAAACATACAAAAGAAGACCCAGTAAAGAGGAATTTCTCCATCCCAGAAACTGTTCCCAATCCTGTTGTATCTTTCAGAGAGGTTTATACATGTGGCATGTCCTTTTATCTCTACACACTTTTCACACAAACCACAGGCTACACACACAAGGTTCCACACCTTGCATTTTGGAGTGATGCCTCCTCCTTAAGGATGAATAACAAAGCAAACATGTTTATGGAATTAACTTGCCCAGCACAATGTCGTGTTTGTGGGTACTCACTGAAGAAGGCATCCATTTATTTAAAAATCCCTCAGAAGAGGGGATGGGGGGTGGGGGGGTGGGAAGAGATAAACCACAGAACTTATATGCATGTATGCATGACCAATGGACATGGACAACTAAGCCGGGGACAGGGTGGAGGGGGGGGGTGCCAATGGGGTAAAAAGATAAAATATCTGTAACAAAAAAATAAATAAAAATTCATATAAAAAAATTATGTATTTGGCATTGGGTAGGTGGTAGGTATGCCTTTGCCTGTTCTCATTCATGGCAAATTTTATTTTGTGGTGCAACTTTTTCCGAAAGGAAGCATGATAACTTTTTCCACTTCACATTGCAGAACTCATTAAGTTAGCCATTGACATAAGTGAAAATTAGGAAAGTATAAAAATGGTTTTCTTTCTTGTTGGATGATACCATGCTGCATGATAAAATCTTTCAAGAAACCAAAAAGCTACTCAATTAAAACTTAAATCTATCCATAAGAATCTAGTCACTTCTCTATGATTCAAAAAAAACCTAAAAACCTATACAGCCCACTCCTGCTCCTGAGTACTTATTCTCTTTATCAAATGTTACAACAGGCTCCGCCCCTCTAAAAGGGTCAAGGTTGAGAAGGTTGAGATCCCTGATCAGACCATTTATTTGGCAATTCCATAAGTGTAGAATTTTGTGGCATTCTGTGTGTTGTGTTGAACTGTTATTAATGAAGCTTAGAGATGTGAATAGTTTGGCCAAGGTCACAAGCTAGTAAAATTGAAAGATAGACCAGCTTAAAAATCCTCCCAGCATGAATTTTCCATAATTCTAAATTGAGCATGAATGGGAATAGGTGACTTACCAACCAGGGGGGTGGGTGAGATGACTACAGTGCACTGCCCCATTTTCAGGAACAGTGTTACGAGCCACTGCCACCCCCACCCCCCCAGCTCTGACCATCTCAAACTCTAGTCTGCACCTTTTTTGCTTACATGACCCCCTAAAGAATATTCAACTTTTTAAAATTATTATTTTAGAGAGAGAGGAAAGTGGGGGGACAGAGAAACACTGATTTGTTGTTCCACTTATTTATGCATTCATTGGTTGTTTCTTCTAAGTGCCCTGATCTGGGATTGAACCTGCAACCTTGGCATATTGGGTTGACACTCTAACCAACTGAGCTACCCAACCAGGGCAAGAAACTTCAACTTTTAAAGTTGACATATAAAATTCTTCATAATTTTAAAGTTTATAATACATTTTCTGGCTCATTGTAAATATTGACTCTTTGAAATAAAACTGTTACATCACTTTTAAGTGTATCAAGTGGTATGTAAATACCTTAATGATATAAGCACTATCATTTTGTTGTTGTTGTTAATCCTCAGCTGAGGATATTTTTTCATTGATTTTTTAGATAGAGAGAGAGGGAGAGAGGGAGAGAGAGAGGCATCAATGTGAGAGAGACACATCAATTGGTTGTCTCCTACATGACCCAACTGGGGCTGGGATCAAACTGAAACCGGACAACAAATGGGTCCCAACCACCTGTCTCTACTTGAGCCAATTAAGCATAGACAAGGTTGAATCATATATGAGCATTTATTCCAATGTTGCCAGCAGAATGGGAGAGCAGTGGGCTGTCCCATAAAATCTGCTCTGCCCCCCTCACTTTGCCAGCTGTTTTAAAGGGTAGAGAAACAATGACTACATGAGAAGGGGCAGGAGGGCAAAAAGGAAAAATGAATTGTAAATTGTTTACAGGCAATGGGGGAAGAACAATGTGGGGATTGTAAAAGGTTTCAGGGCAAAGGGGGAAGGAATGTGGGCCAGGGGCTGCAAGGGCTAGTCGCCA